ATTAAAAATAATATTTATTAATATATAATAATCCAATAAAAAGAATTAATCCACAAAAAAGAAATAAAAAAATTAATTAAAAAAAACTAATATATAATACTTCAATTAAGTTAAAAAGAAGATATGCAGAAATGGTCCATATGGTTTGTGTTGGGTTTGAGAAGTTGCGTCATTGGGCCTTTACTTCGGTCCATATTAGTCACGTTCTGGGCCTGTCCAATCGTGCTTAGTTTATTAGGGTTTAATATAAAAGATGCATGCATGCATCGTTCTCATTACGCTTTTGAATTAATTATTCTCTTGATTGTACTGTAACCCTAGCACACCTCTATAGTAGAAGTTCTTTATCGAACTCTTCTGAGGTGTGACAGATTAATTATTCAGCACTTGTTTGATCTATCGTGAGTTTGTATTTTTATTTGCTTTCTTGATTTGCTTGTTAAGAATCTATTCTGATCTTAAAAGAGTTTTCAACTCATCAATTGATATCAGAGCAGAAGGCTGTGTAAATCATACGCATCTCTTCTGTTTGAAGCATATTTTTAGGGTTTCCGCTTTTATTGAATCTGTTGAAGCCGTCATCTCTTCATTGACGTTGTTCATAGATCTCGATATTACCCTAATACCGCTTTACAAGTCTGATTCTTGACAGGTTATCAAAACAAATCATCATGTCACACGACGACTCTTATTCCAACTCCATTAACATCTCCAACAGATCTACCACGAGAATCCCGATTTTATATACTCAAGATTATGAAGTCTGGACGCATTACTTTGAAGACTATGTTCTTGGCTCAGAAGAAAATGGGTATCTAATCTGGGAGGCTATTACCTTGGGCCCGTTTGTTCATTCTGGAACAAATAAAACCATCAAGACGCAAAAGGAATATAATCAGCTTATGATCGACGTGGAGAAAGTTCCTCAAGACGAGAAGGACAAACTGATGAGCAACATCAAAGCCATGAGAATGATCAGATTTACCTTACAATCTGATACTTTTCGTCTGGTCAGTTCATTCACGACGGCAAAACAAATCTGGGATAGGCTTAAGGAGCTATATTCCACCGATGAGGATCTGGAGCATTCAATTCAAACTCTTCTGCTTTCGGAATTCGGTGACTTCAAGCAAAAGCAAGAAGAAAAACTCATTCAGGCGTTCGATCGTTTCAATCATCTTCTCAGCAAGATAATCAAGCACGGAATCGGAAGAGAAGTGGTCGAAAAGAAGGTCACTTTTATGAATAGCCTAAGACCCGAATGGATGGTGGTGGTTTCGACTGTGAAAGCTCATGAACAGTTCAAAACCTATTCACTGGCGAAGCTTGTGGGAATACTCAAGTCACTGGCGAAGCTTGTGGGAATACTCAAGTCACAACTTCTCCGCTCCCTACACTCCACAGCAAAACGACGTTGTTGAAAGACGAAATCGTTCCTTGTGCGAAGCCGCCCGAACCATGCTTAGCTTCGCTTCTCTTCCACTATATTTCTGGGCTGATGCAATTTCTGCTGCTTGCTATACTCAGAACCGAACATTCCTCAATAATCGATTTTCTATCACTCTTTATGAAATTCTAAATAATCGCAAGCCTAACGTCAAGTTTTTCCATGTTTTTGGTTCCAGGTGCTTCATCTTTAACTCTAAAGAGAACCGAAACAAGTTTGATGTAAAAGCTGATGAAAGGATTTTTCTTGGCTACTCTCTCACCTCCAAGGCATATAGGGTTCTGAATAAACGTTCAAAGAAAATCGAGGAAACATATTATGTCACATTTGATGATAATTACATTAAGAAACTTCCATCCATCGAAGGCTCAATGGAAGAAATCTTTCCAAAAACATGTCAAGTCTCGATTCCAATATCCAATCTCTTTGAAGAATATATGTTGCTCTTTGATGAACCGGAGAACACCATTCTCTTTGAAGCAAAAGCAGCTGATAATAAGGGTGACAACTTGAAAAAGATAATCGACGAAGCCACAAAAGCTATGGAAAGCGAACCTCAAGGTCCAAGCGAACCTCAAGGTCCAAGCGAACCTCAAGTTCCAAGCGAACCTACACAAGCACGCTCCATATTCCAGGGGGAGGGTTCGTCTACACCAAAGAAAACTGATTTGCCCTTCCAGGAGGAGAACTCATCTCCAACTATAAACAATGGAAATCCAATCGAGGGGGAGAATTCTGAACCTGAAATTGAACTTGTTTCGTCATTCGAGGGGGAGACTCATAATACAAATGACGAAGATGTTCAATCAGAATTTGAAGAAGAAATAAATGTTGAATTGGATCCTGCCTATGATCCAAACTTCCATCCACTCACAAAATGGACAAGAGATCATCCGAAAACTCAAGTTATTGGTGAATCATCTGAGGTAGTTCTTACACGCTCTCAACTGAAAGCGAAGCAAACTGCTTTATTCTCTCAAGTGGAATTCTGCATGTTTAATTCGTTTGTCTCCAAAATCGAACCGAAAACAGTTAACACGGCACTTGATCACTCTGATTGGGTACATGCTATGTGAGCGAAACCGAGTGTGGAGACTAATTCGTACACCAAAGGATGCATCCGTGGTTGGATTAAAATGGGTATTCCGGAACAAGATGGATAAAGAAGGGAATGTGATATGCAACAAAGCAAGGCTTGTGGTGAAGAGATATTGTCAGGAAGAAGGAATAGAATATGAAGAAACCTTCGCTCCAGTAGCAAGGTTAGAATCAGTACGGATCTTTCTGGCATACGCTGCTCACAAAATTTTGAAGTTTTTCAAATGGACGTCAAGTGTGCGTTCTTAAATGGTGAACTAGAAGAGACCGTGTACGTTGAGCAACCACCGGGATTTGTGAACGAAAAGTATCCTAATCATTGCTACATTCTGGACAAAGCAGTCTATGGTCTGAAGCAAGCCCCTAGAGCCTGGAATGAAACGTTAACTCGTTTTCTTAAAATGTCAAAATTCAAACAAGGTTCGGTTGACGCAACCTTCTTTCGGAAGAAAGAGGGTGACCATTTAATGATCGTCCAAATCTATGTCGATGACATCATCTTCGGTTCTACGAATCCTAGCCTAACGGCTGAATTCCGGAAGCTGATGGAGACTAAGTTTGAGATGAGCTCAATGGGTCCGATTTACTTTTTTCTTGGTTTGAACATTAGACAGGGACCAGAAGGCATATT